ACTGTCAAAACTGGTCCAACCCTCGTCCCCAGACTATCTTTTTGGACTGCTTCTGGACATTCCCCCAGTAGGGGGACAAGCCCGACGCGAGAGTTGCATCCGAAGGAAGGGGAGGGACGTGTCTGGGTTCGCGCCCGGGGGCGGCGGAAAGCTCAAGGGCGCAGGCCCGCTGTCTCCCACCGCGCAGCGGTCGGGCGCTGGCAGCTCCACTCACCGGACCTGCCGCCACCCGAAAAAAAAAAACACCGGCTGTACGGCAGACATGGCTTAGTGCTTCTGGCATTTCAGGGCTCCGGGGCCCTACTACTAACCGGGTCCCCTGACCTGGGGTCCTGGCTATACCCGAAGCGGGCGGCCCCGGCGAAAAGGGAGGCGAGCCAGCGGGAGGTATTATCAACCCAGGGTAAATCCCTAGGCGCTGAGGATCGGCGGCGAGCGAGGGGGGGAAGTGAGGAAGAAAGAAGGCGGCGGGACTTCTCAGAAGCCCCTCGCGCCTTCTGGGAGGCTTTTGTCAGAAAACTGCTCAAAGGCCAGGGGACTTCCGAGCCTTCTGAGCAGGCCCGCCCCTTCTCACTTCCCCCCCTCGCTCGCCGCTGAATGGAGATACCATCCCCCAGGGATGGGGTCCCCGCAGTCTCAGCTGGCAAAGGGCCGAGTGCCCCTTGTAACTAGTACAGGTCTGGCATGAAGGATTCGTCGGAGCGCTGGGCAGCAATGCCGCTCGTCATGCGCAGCTCGAGGAAGGAGCCGTTGTGTGAACCTGCGCATTCTGCCTATAGGTTGGCAGGTGCCCGCGCACACAACAGCAAAGCCCCGAACTGCGATAGCTAAGAGGGCACACACCACTGCCATGACATCGAGTCCCCCTGTGAGCAAACCCAACTCCCTCGATCGAGGGCGCGAAACGATATGAAACACTATAGCGGCAACTGTCGTCTCCGACTGCGGCAACACATACACTGGTACACCGACTGTCCACGAGCGTCGTCTTGCCACCATGGGAGACATTCAAAACATATTGAAACGAACCGTAAGAGCCGCCAAAGCGATCCTGGCAGCGTATTGAACGTGTTGGCCGCACCCCCGATCCAAATTCGGGGCATCGCATCTCAAGAGGTCATGCCGACAGATGCAGGCACAGGCTGCTCCGTGGCTGCCCCGTACTAGGACCCTATACCACCCCCATCCCCATGGCCCATCTCGGGCGGGTGGGAAGGGTGGGTGGCCCAAAAGGGGGGGTGAAGAGAAAGGCCCTGAGGGGCACGTCAGGGCCCCTTCAGGAGCCAGCAGGGGCCCACCGGGGGCCCCAAAGTGCTCATTGTAGGCCCTTGCCTTCACCCCCCCAGCCAGGTCACCCCCCACTCCCGCCCGCCCGACCAGACGCGCGTCGACGCTCGCACCACCCCGGCATGAACCTACGCGCCCCCCTCGGGCCGACGCAGCACAACCCCAGGCGCCCAGGCAAGCGCTGAGCTCACACCACCCAGGTATTTGAAGACGAGCGCGCACCAGGACGCCAAGGCGACCCCGGCGTGCTCGAGAGGCGAATGGTGGGCGTCGCCGGCGGCGACTCGAAGGAGAGCACCCTGGCCACCGGAGGCCCGTCCTCCGCCCGCGCCGCGACGCCCTCGGGGCCGGCGGCGCCGCGCAGGGCGAGCTCGCGCAGGGCGCGGAGCCGGTCGGGGCTCGGCGGGGCCCCGCCCTGCTGCTGCCCGAACGTCACCGCCGCGGCCAGCTTCGCCGCCGCCGTGGGCGCGGCGCCTGCGGCCGCGGACTGTTCCTAGAGGAAAAAAAACTATGCACATGCACCGATTCTGGCCAGGCCCATCCTGAGCCCAAGATCGGTGCATACGCCCTCCTACCTCGGCCAGGAAGGCACATGCACCGATCCTGGGTCAAGGATGGGCCTTGCCAGGATCGGTGCATGTGCATAGTTCCCTTTGCCCGAGCTCCCGCGCCGCCCGCGCCGCCGCCAGCGCGGCCGCGGCCACGCCGCCCTCGCGGGCGGCCGGGCCGGCGGCGGCGGGCGGCGGGCCCGGGCGCAGGAGCTGCTGCAGGCGGGGCCCGACCTCGGGCTCGCGCACCTCTGAGCAGGGGCCGACCGTCCCAGCATTCCCAGAGGCCTACCACGACATGCTCTTAGAACTCAAAAATGTCCTTAGAAAAAAGCAATGTTCTTAGAACATGAACCCAATGTCTTGAAACACGGCAGTCCCAGCCAGAGATGTTCTGAGAACATGCCGCGCAAGCCGCACAAGGGTTCTTCGGACATTCTCTGGTGGGCCTATAGGAGGCGAGCCAGGACGCTTCGCCCTCGCTCGACACCTTCATCGGCTCCAGCATTTCGAACCCGAGGCCCGGCCACGGGAGTCCCGCAGGCTGGCGCAGCTCGGGCCTCTCGGGCGTGCTCGCGCCCTCCGGCGGCGAGGGGCGCCGGCGCGGCGGGGAGGCCAGCGGCGTCGGCGGCGACGCCGCGGCGCCCCAGGAGGCCTTCGCTTTGGGGGTCCTGCGGTGCCCTTCGGAGCCTTGCGGGCTCTGCCCCCCGGCCGTCGACGAGCCTCTCGGGGGCGTCCCCGCCTCATCGCTCGGCTCGCAGGGAGCCTGGGAGTTCCGCTGCGCCGTCGCCTGGGCACCCTGGAAGCTGCGCAACTCTGCGGCGCCATGGGCATGGCGGCATTCGGCGCCCTTCTTGCAGTACCCCTGCTCGAAGAAGTTGCAGAGCTGCGTCTTGTACACGCTCGGCGTCACGCGCAGCTCCTGCTCGCCGTGCGCAAACTTGCACCCGCTTGCGCGGCACTGCCCCCGCGCGAAGGCGCGGCACATAGCGGTCTTGGTGAGGTCGGGCGCCTTGCGCAGCTCGTTCGGGGAGTGCGCGAAGCGGCACCTGGGGTCGCTGCAAGAGCCTCTGGCGTACACGGCGCACATCTTCGTCTTGCACAGCTGGGCTGCCACCAGGTGGTTCAACTTCGAGTCCGCCTCCAGCTCACTCGAGGGCGACGCCGTCGTAGACCTGCTCGTGGCCATGTCGAGATTGCCTGATGAAGACTTGGCCAGCGACGAGAGGGTGCGAAACCTGCGGGTTGCCTTCCAGAGGTGCCGCGGGGCAGACAGAATCCTTGAGCCAGAATGGGTTCGGCCTCTTGGAGCGTCCTGGAGGCGCCTGGGGTCGTCTGGAGGCCACCCTGGGCGTCCAGGAGCAATCGTTCGGGGGCTTGGGGCCCTCGAGGGCCCCTCTTGGAGCATCTTGGATTTGATCTGCCAAAGGAGGGCCAACTTTGATAGAAGGCAGCACGAATAGGGAAAGAGGGGGATCCCCTCCCCAGGACCCCCACCCGAGACCCCCCCCCCATCGAGACCCCCCTGGGATCCCCCCCCAAGGGACCAGCAAAGGCCTATATTCCCCCAAAGGATGCGCTGTTCCTGGTTGGACGGGCTTTTTCCCGGTTGCGGGGGAAACGCGTCTAATGTAAGCTTCGGAAGACCTGCCACAACTAATGTCGATTGTAACCCATCTTTAGAAAGTCTGGAGTGCCAATGGTGTGCCCTGAGGAGGCCCACATGGTCTCCAGGGCCGAACAGCCGTGGAACAGCCCACCCGTTACAAAGATGTTCTGAGTGGGCGCTGGCTTGCTCTGTGCGTGCGCGTCTGTGTGCGCGCGTGAATCTTGCTCTGTGCGCCAGGCTGGTTCAAGGATGTTGGTGCATCGTGCTATCCACCCGTAGCCGTCCTGCGAGATGGTGACGACCCTTCGCCGCGCGAGCAATCATATATTATGCTTCGTGCGTGCGCGCGCCTGCGCGCGCTTATTCCTCAAGGCGTCGCAAAGGATGTCGCTTTGGCTGCCCCCAGAACCGTCTCTTGTGAATAATGTGTTTATCTGTGCTGGGGCAGGAGCAGTCGCGTTTGAGGTACGTACGTTTCTCGTATGAGAGACCAGAGTCTCTCAACTGACTCACATATGTTGCGCATATGAACGTCTGATGTGTCTCATATGCATAACTGGCGCGTTTGTTGTCTGAGAACCCCACCTTTCGCAGAAGGATGCTGTATTCTTCACGGCTGCAGACCCTGCGCTTATCATGAGGCAACCACACGTTTCTCACACACAAGCCACGCGCGTCACATATGAAGACCACGAGAACAAACCCACCATCACGACCACAAGCAAGCACATCACCGCGACCACCAAGTGGGGGGGAGGAGGAGCGGAAGAAATAATGTGGAGATGGGGGGAAACGGATGAATATGGAGACAGGGGGCGGTGTTTGGTGTTCGGTGTTCGGCGTTTGGTGTACGGTGCTCGGTGTATGGGGTTTGGTGTATTGTGTTTGGTGTTTGGTGCTCGGCGGTTAGGGTTCGGGGTTTGGTGTTTTGGGTGTGGTGTTCGATATCTGGTAGTTGCTTTGGGTGTTTTGCCTGGGGTTTGGGGAATAGTGCCTGGAGTTTGATCTTGGGATGTGTTTGGTTTTGGGGTGTGGGGTTTGGTGTATGGTGTTTTGTGTTTGGTGTTTGGTGACTCGCGTTTGGTGCATGTGATTGGTGATTGGGGTGTGGGATTTGTTCTTTGGGGGTTGGGGGTTGGTGTTTGGTGGTTTGGGGGTGTGAGGTTTGGTGTTCGGGGGTTGTTATATGGTGTTTGTTGTTTGGTGTAGTGTGTTTGGTGTTGGATGTCTGGAGTATGGTGTTTGTTGGTTGGTGCTTGGAACATCGTGTTTCGTGTTTGGTGTTTGGTGTTTGGTAGTTTTTGGTGTTTGGGGTTCGATGTTTGGCGTTTGGGGCTTGGGGCTCGGTGGTGTTTGGTTATGAGGGGTCCGGGGGTTGGTGGTGTTTGGTGTTTGGGATCTGCCGTTTGGTGTTTGGTTGTTGGGAGTTGTTCAGGCTACAAGCGGGGAATAGCCCGACCTTGCCAAGGAATGGCCCGTCCAACTGGCAATGGCCCATCCAACCGGACCACACCCCCAGGAACACCCCCGCCCGGGTGGGGAACATGTCAAAGTGAAGGGCCCCCCCCGTCGACTCCACTACGACTTCGATGGCGACATGGCTCGATTCGCCTCGAGTTGACGAACTTGGCGCGCCAACGAGGGGGAGATGAGCTGGGCGCGCCCAAGAGAGCGCCAAAGGGTGCTCCGAAGACGTCAAGCACCCAGAACTCCCCCTCGCAGCAGGGTCGACAGGTTGGCGGATGCCGTTTCCGCTGGGCAGCTGGTGCAGAAGCCGAAGACGTCCGCAGGCCCCCTAGTAGGGGGCGCCACGCTGTGCAGCTGCTGCTGGACTGATGTGTTGTTGGCGTCTCTGGTCGTCGCCTCTAAATCTAGCGGAACGAAGAATGACAGAAACATAACAACTCAGAGGTCCGCGCGGAGTTCACGTATCGGCGCTGGACCCCCCTTCCCTGGCGCGCGGGGCGCGCCAGGTGCGGCGCCGCAGGCGCCGCCAGGGGGTTCCATCGCGAATCCGAGATTTCCGCGCGGACCTCCGAGTTTTTATGCTTCTGCCATTCCTCGTTCCCCTACTGTCGTCGTGCACCTCGCTCCCTGGCTGCTGGCTCGCTGGTCCAGCCCTCCTTACCTGGTCTGCCTTCTTTTCTGCGCGGGCCGCCGCCCCAGCGAGCCACCACCAAAGGGGGAGAGAGGGGGGGGGGGGGGGCAAGAGAGAGCCCGCGGGGCCAGCGGGGCACGGCCCCAGGAGGTCCCGAAGAGAGGCCGCACGAGCCCACGGGCGGACGAAGATGGCCCCGGGATGCCTCGGAGACGGCCCAGGGAAGCCCCGAGGCACCCCCCAAGAAAGCAGCACACCACACGGCGAGGGCACTGGATGAGGAACCATTGGACAGGGAATCCGGGGGCTGGAGGCAGGCGGAACTTCAACCGAGGCTTGGCGACGGATATCACCGCCGCCCTCATCAGATAACGAGCTCTCCAGGGTTTGAAGCCTAATGGGTACGTTCCTTAACGAACGCCCCCACCGCACGAAAGCTGTGCAACGTGGCTGTTTGCATATCCTGTGCTTGTGCTCCTTGCACGTCCAAGTGTCGCATCATGACGGCCCCCCGTGCCCAGGAGACTGCCCACTGCGGCTCCACGTCTGCCCCCCAACTGCCCCAAGATGCCGCCGAGATTGCCGAGCAAAGCCCGGGAGTGCCCCCACACTGCCAGAAGGAACTCCCAATATGGGGCTCTGCGGGGCCCCGAGATAGCCCCAGGAATGTCCAAGGTGGCCCAGAGGTGGCCGCAGAGGCCCCAAGATGCCCCCGAGGACCCAAAAAGGGCCCCAACACAGCCCCATTGTGGCCCAAGATGACTCAGCCTGGAGGGAGCAGCAGAAGGCGCAGCCTTGCAGATGACTCGACCACGCAAACATCTGCCCCCCTACGCGGAGCGAGCAGCTTGACGAAGCAACAGGAATCAGAAGCGGTCAGGACCAGAAGCGGTCATCCAAAACGAAAGTCATCCAGGCAGACACGAGCAGAAGGCCAAAGCAGCTGCTCCTGGGGAAGCCAAACAGCAGCGATGCCGCCACTCCACGGACCTCTGCCAGGGTGCGCTCTGACCAGCATTCTTCGAAGCGAATCCAGCCTTGGTGACGAGGGCCTCCCAGGAGGCCCACGAATGCGAAAAGGGGGCACATGTACAGTGCGGGCGCGGTCGCAAGAAACCCTCGCAAGAGACCCGACCCTGGAAACCCGCGCGCGAGGTGCGCCTGAGGGAAAAACCCGAGCATCCTGAACGAATCAGCTTCTCTGACGGCCGCGAGGAGTCACCGCGCAGCGCGCGCTAGGGTACCCTGACGAAGCTCAGATGGCTTCTTGATGCGCGCCCCCACTGTAACAGTACCGGTGCCTCTTCCTCCTCTGAGCTCCAGCGGAAGCTCGACGCCCAGCGGGCAGCCACCGTGGCTGCCTCGCCCGCGGCCAGCTCGGGCGGCGCCTGCGCCAGAGACGCGCCCGTAGGGCGGGCGCCCTCCCCTGGTGCCTCCAGGGAGAGCTCGACCCAAACTGTGTTTTGGCGATGTTGTGGGCCGTTTTCGGTTCGAGCTTGTGTTGCAACATCTGGGGAGACCAAAAGGTACCGACACCGCTACTGCCTGGACCTCTTCCGGCGTGCGTTCTGACGAGAGTTTCGAGGCGAGTCAAGTGGCGACGACGAGGGCCTCCCAGGAGGACCAAAACAAGGGGAAACGGGCGAAGCCAGCACAAAAGGACAACGAACACGAAACGACAACGAAAAACACGGCTTAGGTCGAACCTTCGATGGCATCTCACGGGAGCCTCCCATACCATCTTGTCGGCTCTTGCGAATCGACGCTAGTCGACGCTGAGTCGACGCTAATCGACGCAAAATCCACGCCAATCGACGCGAAATCGGGCTATCGCATCGACTCCCAGACGCTAATCGACGATGAAGGACGAGTGACGAGGGTACACAAGTCAGGAGAGACAGAAGTACCATTACCACCAGCTAAGGGAGTGGCGGCTCCCTCCCCTCGAGCTGGTGGCACCTCCTTCCAGGAACTCTCTGGAGGCATGCCGGGAACGAGGTGCCACCAGCTCGAGAGGGCGGGACAGCCACCCCCCCTAGCTGGTGATAGTACTACCACCACCCTGTCAGCCCCCAAAAAGTCACAAATGGTCAGCCGAATGCACCACCTGATAGATTGCGTGCTCCGACGGGTGGTACTTACTTTTGTCTCTGGTGGACAAGGCTCCCGTGGCTTGCTACCTGGCCATCGCTCGGACGTCCATTCCGTTTTTGGGGGGTTTCGTGCGTGGTTCTATCTCCAAATGATCAAGAATGCTCCTCGATGGTCCTCGCCGAAGGAAAAATCCACACGTCCGAGCGATGCCAAGACAGGACTCCCGTGGCTTGCTACCGAGCGAGCCCTGCCTCCAGGAGCGCCTCGGCCAGCCCAATGGCGTCCCCCGCGGGAGCCGCCGCGGGAGGGGCCTCCCTCGACACTGCCGCGGGCGGCTCTGGCAGGTCCACGGGGAGCACGGCCCAGGCCTCGAGGACAAAAAAGTTGGCGCACCCTCGTGCCACAGAAACATCTCAAAGGGGCCCAGGATGACACAAATAGATAGACCTCCTCTTCCTCCTCCTCCTCCTCCTCCTCCTCCTCCTCATGCTCCTCCTCCTCCTCCTCCTCATGCTCCTCCTCCTCCTCCTCCTCCTCCTCCGCCTCCTCCTCCTCCTCCGTCTCCTCCTCCTCTTCCTCCTCCTCCTCCTCCTTACAGGGGCCCAGGAACACACCAATAAATAAACACACATCCCAGGATTCCCCACATGTCTCATATTATCTGGACTCTCGTCTCCCCCCACACTTCCCATAGTTTCCTATTTTCTCCTGGAAGTCGACGGTTCCATGTGTCTGTGTGTGTTATCCCCTCCTAACATCTGTCAGTGCCCCCCCCACGCCCCCCCAAGTCGGGGGCAACTACTGGGAGGTCTTCGCCGGAAGGATTAAGGAGGATTGAGCCCCATTGGGGGTTTGTTACAGTGGAGGCAAGTCCACAAGAAACCTTTTAATTACAAGAAACCCAGCCCTGAGACTCCAGGACGTCCATTGATTTTCGGTGTGGGAGCGTCACGCTCTCCATCGCAAAACCATCGAAACCCAAGAAATCCAGGGCACCTTGGAGGCAAGCAGGGTGTGTCTTGACATGGATCTCCACTGTAAGCCAGATTCGGCCGCGTATTAAGCGGGATCAAGCCAGCTCAAGCGGGATTAAGCCAAATAGAACGGGATTAAGCCGGATGAAAACGGATTTCGGACCATGGCAAACTCAGAATTTGACCTCCCAGGAGTTGCATCCGAACACAAGAACGACGAGCGGCGAACGTGTTTGTCTCCATGCCCTCGCGGTCTGGATTCCAGGGCGCGGTCGGCGGATACGCGGACGCACGGATGCGTTCCGCGCGGGGCATCTGCGAAAATACCCCCAGCGAAGCACCATACTAACAGCAAAGGTGTGGAGGCGGATGAACGCCTGAGACGTCGGCTTGGAGTCTCATTTCTGGATCTGCGAGGGCTGCAATCTGGCGGCGAGCGAGGGGGGGAAGAGAGGACGAGAAAGCCTTCTCAGAGGGCGGCGGGAATTCTCAAAGCCCTCGCGCCTTCTGAGAATGTGTTCCGTTTTCGGGGAAGGTTTACACAACCTCTCAGAAGGCAGGAGGACAGCCGAACCTTCTGAGGAGGCCTTCTCCTTCTCTCTTCTCCCCTCGCTCGCCGCCGAGAAACCGAGCCAGAAAACTCGCCCCCCCGTGAGTAGAATTCGGATGCGAGGAATCTTGGAGCTGAAATCGAGCCAGAAGACCAACTTGGGTCGCATGGCTGAGTCAAACCGAGCCAGAACACCCTCGCGAGCTTCAATTCTGCATCTGCGAGGGCTGAAGTCGAGCCAGCACACTGTAATGAGTCGATTCAAGACCGCCGCGAGACCGGTGAGACGCGTCCCCCTGGCTTTAAGTCGGGCCTGTCCCCCTACTAGGGGATTTTGGACAAAAAATTAAAGAAATACCCCAACAATGCCCCCAAATGGACAAACAATGCAAAGAAAATCGTCCCCTGACTATTGTTTGACTGGATATTCCCCCTGTAGAGGGACAGGCCCGACTTAACCCTGGCCACCCCTGTGGAGATTCGGGCGAAAGAGAACCAAGCCAGAACACAAAGAAAGTCAACTTTCTGGACCAAATCGAGCCAGAACACCATAAGGAGTCTCGTTTCTGGATCTAGGGGGGGTGACATCCAGCCAGAACATCAGGGTGAGTCGCACTTCTGAGCCAAGTCGGCTCAGAACACCCCAGCGAATCTCCTTTCTGGACCACATCGAGCCAGAACGCTAGAACGAATCCATTCTGGAGCGTTCCAGACCGCCACAAGGCCCGTGAGACGCCAGCCCCCCCTGAGGAGATTCTGGTCAAAGGAAATCCTTTGAATAAGAAAATACACGTCGTTCATTTCTAATTGTGCTCATTTTAATGTATGGTCGTTTCTAAGTGTTCCTGGAAGAGGCCCAGACCTTGGCCTCTTAAAAATCAAAGAACTCTCGAATACTTGGAAATGAACAGTGTGTACTTCTGGCCATAAACTTGTGGCGCTCCGCGCGGATTTCTTGGATTCGCGCTGGACCCCTCTCCTTGGTGCGCGGAGCGCGCCAGGGGCGGCGCCGGAGGCGCCGCCTGGGGGCCCAGGCGCGGATCCAAGAAATCCGCGAGGGGCGCCAAAGTTTATGTTTATGTAGTGTCTTCTTCTTCGAATATTTGAGCACTATTCGAATCCTCTAGCGAAGCGCGATTAGGGAAGCAACTCCGTATCCGCGGGGTCGCGGACCCGGGCCTGGCCCACGAGGCCGCGGCTACGGATACGCTGCCCGCCCACGCAGGGATCGAAGTTGGCGGTGGCTCCGATGAGCTGCACTTCGACCGCAGTCTTCCCCGCGCGTGCCAGCTTGGACTTGGGTTAGGTCGGGCATGTCCTCCTACAGGCGGATTTGCGAAGAACATGACAAATAGTTCAGAAAATATTCAGACATAGTTGAAACATCGTCCCCAGATGATTTTTTTACTATCTTTGAACATCCCGCCTGCTAATGGACATGCCCGACGTAAAGACTCGGGAGGGCGGGGGACGCCCGGGAATTGTCTCCCTCTGCCGCAGGAGCCCCCGCCAGCGGCCCTGGTGCGCCCGCGGGTGCCGCAGCCGGAGCCTCCACCGGCGCCTCCGCCGGTGCTGCGGGCGAGCCCGGCACGCCCCGGGGAGGCGCAGCCGTTGCCGCCGCGGGTGCCTCGGAGGGGCCGCGCAGGGGCCCGCCCCGAGCCCGCGGACGGCCAGCGCCTGCGGTGCGACGGCTGCCGACGGAGACCCGCCACTGTGGGCAGACGCAGCTGCTCGGCGCGCTCCAGAAGTCGAGCAGGGAGCGAGCGCCCCGGCATTGCTATAGGCCTACGACGGCCTGTTCTTAGAGCCCAGAGCTGTTCTAAGTACAAAATCGCTGTTCTCAGAGCGTACGCCCGATGTGTGTTAAATCAACGCACAATTCCGAGCAGGAATGTTCTGAGAACATGTCGTGCAAGCCACAAAAGGTCCTTAGGACAGTGTTTGGTATAGGCCAAGAGGCGAGCCAGGACGCTTCGCCACTGCTTGAAGAAGAGTGGGCTGCAGCTCCAGAGGCTCCAGCTCCCCCACTTCCCCACCTGGGGGGCAACGCCAGGGGAGGGCCGGCTCTGGGGAGAAGCATCGGCCTGGCATCGGCGATCCAACGCCGACGGATCGGCGAGAGGCCGCCGCGAGCGAATCTGGACGGTCCTGGGCGGGGTGGGCAAGAAGGCCCCGGATCGGCGATCGGGTGTCGCAACTGGCGAGCCCACGCTCGCGCCCGCGCGCCCCGTTGTTCCCCCGGGGGGGGTACCATCGTCCGCCGCCGCGCCACGTGTCACAAGGTGATCGGCGATCCACGAGCGATCGAGGCATCCCCCCCTGAGCCGATCCCCCCCGAACGTTCGGTCGGGCATGTCCTCCTATATAGAGATCGATCTTGGAAGGACAATGGACATGAGTCAAACACAAGATTCCAACACACAGTGGAGACAATCGCCCGTTACTCTTGACCGCTCCTCCTCTGGGGGGACGTGCCCGACTCAACCCTCGCGTTGCCCCTGGCCACCGCTGCGCCCGCTGCCAGCCTGGGCGGTGCCGGCGCCGAGCCCGCGTCCTCCGCGCGCCCAGCGCCCACGGGCCCCTGCAGGGAGGCCTCCTCGCCCGACGCCGGCGCCGCTGCGGGCGGCGTCTCGACGGCCTCGCGTGGAGGGGCGACGACAGGGGGGGGGACTGGCACCAAGGGGGGGATGCCTCGACCTGGCATCGGCGCTGCATCGCCGAGAGATCGGCGCTGGGCCTCCGACCGTGGCTCCGCACCTTCCCATGGGCAGGTTGGGGCTCTCGGGCCCCCGTCGGCGATCAACGGGCGAGTGGGGGCCGATGCGCCTCTCCCCCCCCCGCATGCCTCTCTCCCCCTAATATCGTTGCCCCCGACCCGTGCTGCTTCCGGCAGCTCGGCCGCGTCCGCGGGGGGTGCGGCAGGGCTCCCCGCGGGTGCCGCCTGTCCCTCGGGCCGCCCGGGGGCGTCCACGGGCGCCGCAGCGAGGGCCCCCGCCCGTGCCTCCGGCAGCTCCGGGATACCCACGGGCAGCGTCGCAGGCACCTCTCGGCGGGCGAGAGCGGCCTCTGGTGCGCGGGCCGAACGGGGGACGCGGGGTGGCCCAACAAAAACTGGACGCGCAGGCCGCTGCCGACGCTGCGCGCTCCGCGAGCGGGGGGGCCCCCTTCCGCCCGCGCCGGGAGGTCACCCCGGCCAAAGGCCACCCTCTTATAAAAGCCGCCCGGTCGGGCCTCCACCGGCGCCGCGGCCGGCCCCGGCGCGTCCCGGAGAGGCGCAGCCGTCGCCTCCACGGCGGCCGCGGCCAGCTCGGGCGGCTGGGCCGCTCCCGCGGGCGGCGTCGCAGGCGCTTCCAGGCGTGCCGCAGACTTGGCGTCATCCTCCACGTGTCTGCGGTAGTAGTCGTAGTAGCTGCCCTCGCTTCCAAAACCTGTTCGCCCAGCCCCCCACGCTTTGACACACGCTGGCTTTACTTCAGAAGCCTGTCTGGCCACAACGCTGTTGAGGACGAAATGCTCCACCTGGTTCTGTTCGTCTGGTGTGCTATGATCATAAACGCTCAGTAAGTCAATCAACGCCTGGCGTGTAATCCACTGCCGTTGATGTTTGGTCAGCTTGACCTCGCGACCATGATTTCCCAACTCCTTCCTCTCATGGAACCGATGGCCAATCTCCGCCAGGGAATACGCGCGAAGGTGGTCGTTGACCTTCCCCAGGCCGATCAAATTCTCACGCAGTTCTTGCAGATTGTCAAGGTTGCTCTGGAATATGCTGCGTTGCTGAGTGGGTTGACCACCTGTATTGCAGAGGTACTCCAGTAGCTCGATTGCCCGCTCAATATAAAATTTGACAGTATGAATTTGCTGCTGACTGCGCTCGCAGTTCTTCTCAGGACGCTGATCCTTGTCAAAAAGATGTAATCTTCCTTTCCAGAAGAACGTGCGATATGCAATGAAATCTCTGCCGTCCATGCCAAGCCAACTAGCATAGAGGGCATCGAAAGAATTGGGTGCGCAATCCGAATGGGTGAGATGGGCTTGCTCCCGCTTCAGACTTTGGTCACGATGGAAATGCGATGTCCGCTAACGTGCCTTCAGCACTGAGTGGAATGCAGCAAGACTCCTACAAATGTGAAAATTAGTGGGGGTCGGATTGTAGAAACTTGCATGCCATTATCCCTACCGGATCCACTGCCGCTGCGGGGCCCCAACTGCGCCTCCCTGGGGCCCTCCGGGACACCAATCCCACCTAAACCAACTCCAACACCCTCAGTGGCCTTCCAAGCGGGAGGGCAGTTGGACCTGCACCATTCCCAGTATCGAACAAGATCCTGGAATTCTCCGTCGCCTCGAGGGCTCGTCCTGGGACTCTCGTGTGCACCTCTTGGGCAGTCTCGGAGGATTGGGGCCGTCACCAGAGGCCCACAGTCAACCCACATAGCAAGGATGCGCGGTAAGGATGCAAGGGCCTTGGGTGCCCATGCCGAAGCTATTCGAGCGGGCCTGGCCATCGAACGGTTGAGGATGGACCGAAGACGACCGAAGAGGCAAGGTTGCAAGGGTACCCTTGCGAAGTTGCTCATCCTTACCATGCGGGTTGACTGTAGACAATTGAACACACATACTAACAAGAAACTCCGCGTGTGCCTTCATTTGAGCCTGCTTACCTTTTCGGTCTAAGGAGCGCCCAAGACGGCCCAAGGGGCTCCCCAGGGCGGCCTCCGAGGCCGTGAAGAGAGCCCAAGAGGCCTCCAAAATAGTCCCAAGATGGTCCCAAAAAGGGGCAAGACGGAGAACACGAACCAACATTTCCGGCCTGCCACCCTTGGATGGCCTCAAGGTCACACAGAGTGGATCAAGATGCGCCGGGAGGCTCCCAAGAGGCCCCCCAGGAGGCTCCCAAGAGGCCCCCAAAATATACATTTGAGAGGCCCACGGGGCCTCTAAGAGCAAACGACGCCAGGACGAGGCTCAGCTCGGACGAGGATGAATCGAGAATCTCTGATGTCCAGAGGCTCTGGAGGATGTGTCGGGCGCCGCGGCCTTGCACATTGGGGCTGTCGGCAACTCAGACGGCCCAAAGGGCCTCCAAGATGGCCCTCAGGCTTCCGTGGGGCCTCCAAGAGGGCCCCAACACTGCCCACGAGGTCCTCAAGATGTCTCACAAGGTCCCATGACCGCTCAAGAAGGTCCCGAAAGGGCCCACGAAGGACCAAAATAGTCCTGAAAGGGCCCCGATACAGCCTAGAGAGGCCTGCAAGACGGGCCTCAAGGCGCCAGACGGCCCCAGAGTGCCCTGAGGCTGCTCAAGAGAGCCCACAGAAGGCCCAAGCGGGCCACAGAAGGCCCCCACAAAATGCCAAATGGCCGGAAAAAAAGCCCAAGACAACACCAAACCAGCCCCAGAGTACCCCTCTCCATAGGGTTCCCCCAGCTGCGGGAACAGGTCGCCCACTAGCGAGGCCGCACTTTCGCACGCAAGCGTCTCCAGGAGGACAGGGGGGAGCGGTGATTCGCCAGATGCGCCTGCGATGATCGCTGCCATGTCGAGGCTGCCGATGGGCTGTTCGCCCACGTTTTGACCTTCATCCTTGCAAGATTTTCCCAAATTGGCTTTGTCGTCTGACATGCCAGCAAGATTATGTGGCCCGTGCCTGAGCATCTTGCGAAGCGCAGCAGTGAGCTCATCTTCGGCCCTCCTGAGCAAATCAAGAGTTGATAGGATGTACGGATCTGCCAGATGGTTCGGGGAGGCGTAAGGCTCGGGTTCGGGGGACTCGGGTTGGCCTCACGGGGCCATCAGGAAAATGACGAGGCCCATTCTGAAAATTGGCGCGAGCTCACGCTGCAAACATCCCACGAGCACTGGACCGCCAAAGTCCAGGATTGGGCCGTCAGGAGCGGAGGCAAGCCCGAGCTCTGGCGAACTCGAGCCTTACCCAGACCCCCGACGTCATGATTTCTGTTTCATCACGTCGACCCCCTGAGGTCTGGACCCATTCCACGGGGCCGCTTTCTCGTCCTAAGCCGTTCCTGCTGACGGTCCCGAGGCCCGGCGAGGGCCTCCCGAGGCCGAAAATCGTGAGAGACCGCCCGCCGCGCTTTTTTCATGACTCGACTTGGACGCCCGAAGTGGGTACGGAAAGAATGGGCACAATGCCCAGCAGCAAACGTTGTCCCGAACCAACAGCGGCTGCTGTTGGGCAGGCGGCCTCCTGTCCCGAATGGACACAGGTCGCGGCGGCGTGGGCAGCGAGTCCCGTTCAAAATGAACAGGAAATTCTGTTGGTCTTTTAGAGCCCTCCTAGATGGGGTCGGAGTAGATGGGGTTGGAGGATCGCGCCGCATCGCCGATACATCGGCGATGCATCGGCGATGTATTGGCGATGAACCGGCGATGCATCGTCAACGTGAGCTGTGCTTCCGCGACGCCGAGGTGAAGCAATTCGGGCTCCACATCGAGCCGCACCGCCGACGCACACACACACACGCACACACACAGACACACGCACACGCACGCACACCCGCACACAGAGACTCAATCACAGCCCGAACGAAAACATTTGCAAACCCTCGCGCGAGCGAGCACGCAAAAGACGCACGCGCGAACGCGCAAACAAGATGCCGCACACGCGCACACACATTCAAGATGCAAAATGAAATGCCCCCCCCACATGCGCACGCACAGGCACGCACACTGACGGACAGACAAACGCGAACAAGACACACTCCAGATGCAGGCTAAAACGGTAATCGCACGCAACCGGCCACGCAGGCACGCACAGACACACACACACACACACACACACACGCCGACCACACCCTCTCACTCTCTCACATACACAAACTCCCACACACGCGGAGACGCACACATGCACACGGACGCACACACGTACAAACACACAAGCCGCCCCCCACCCCACCCCAATACACGAAAACACAGCTGCACGCGGACGCACGCACAGTGACCGAGAGACACACACATACACACAGAAAGGCACACTCGAAATGCACCCTACATCAGTGACCACAAACCTACGGCCACGCACGCACACACGCACACACAGACACACACACACACACGCAGCCCCACGCACACACCCAAAACCCTCTCAGCAACACACGCACGCACCCAGCACACAAACACACACACACACATAAACACACGCACACACACACGCACAGACGCAAACACACCTGCACACATACGCACGCACGCGAACACACACACACACACCGTGTACATCACCGACCAGACGCAAGCGCCCACAAGCCGAACACGCGCGCGCTCACGCCAACACGCCACCGACTGCCACACCCAACGCACATTCAAAATGCAAGCGTGACGTCCGCACATATCGCACGCCGCGCGCGCAAGCACGCACGCGCACACACACACACATAGACAGACACACACACACACGCACTCGCGCACACGCACACACACACACTCACACACACACCACGCACACACACACATACACACACGCACAAACACGGAGAGACACACGCCCCCCCCCCCACACACACACACACACACAAACACACACACACACACGCACACACACACACACGGAGAAACGCACGCACACACACAAACACACACACAAACGCACAAACACACCGACACAGCCAGTTGCAAACAACCACGCGCGCACACAAAACACACGAACACACACACACACACACCGGCCGCACACACACACACACACACACACGCACGCACACACCCACAACCGCGCCCACACACACGCACGCCCAAACACACAAACACAAACAAAAACACACACGCACACACACACACGCACACGCACGCACACCCGCACACAGACACCCAATCACAGCCCGAACGAAAACATTTGCACAAGGCCTCGCGCGAGCCGCACCAACTGCCACACCCAACGCACATTCAAGATGCAAGCGTGACGTCCGCACATATCGCACGCCGCGCGCGCAGGGACAAACGCGCACACACACACGCAGACATTCACACACACACACACACGCGTAGACAAACACACACACACACACGCACACGCGCACACGCACACACACACACACACACACACTCACACACACACACCACGCACACACACGCACACACACACACACACACGCACACGCACAGACACGGGGAAACACACGCCCCCCCACCCACACACACACACACACGCACACGCACGCACACACACACACACACACCCACACTCACACACAATCACACACACACACACTGACACACATTCACACACATACACACACCCACACACACACACGGAGAGACGCCCGCACACACACAAACGCACAAACACACCGACAGAGCCAGTTGCGAACAACCGCGCGCGCACACAAAGCACACGAACACACACACACACCGGCCACACACACACACACGCACACACACCCACAACCACGCCCACGCACACGCACACACACACAAACACGCACACACACAAACAAAAACACACACGCACACACACACACGCACACGCACACGCACACGCACAGGCACCGTGTAAAGCACAGGCCAGACGCCAGCGCCCACGAGCCGAACACGCGCGCACGCCCACGCCAACACGCCACCGACTGCCACACCCAACGCACATTCAAGATGCAAGCGTAACGTCCGCACATATCGCACGCCGCGCGCGCACACACACACACACGTAGACAGACACACACACACACACACACACACACACACGCACACGCGCAAACGCAAACACACACACCCACACACACACACCACGCACACACACACACACGCCCACACACACGGAGAGACACACGCCCCCCTCCCCCCACACACACACATACACACACACACACTCACTCACACACACGCACACACACAAACACACACACACCCATATACACACAGCCACGGAGAGACGCACGCACACACACACAAACGCACAAACAGACCGACAGAACCAGTTGCAAACAACCACGCGCGCACACAAAACACACGAACACACACGCACACACACCGGACACACCGCCACCACACCCACAACAACGCCCACACACACGCACACACACGAACACACACACAAACACACAACAACAAACACACACACGCACACACACACACACGCACGCACGCACACACACACACACGCACACGCACGCACACCCGCACACAGACACTCAATCACAGCCCGAACGAAAACATTTGCAGAAGCCCTCGCGCGAGCGAGCGCGCAAAAGACGCACGCGCGAGCGCGCAAACAAGCTGCCGCACACGCGCGCGCACATTCAAGATGCAAAATGAGATGCCCCCCCCCCCAATGCGCACGCACAGGCACGCACGCTGACGGACGGACAAACACGCACAACACACACTCCAGATGCAAACTACAACGGTAATCACACGCAACCGGCCACGCAGGCACGCACAGAGACACACACACACACACACACGCCGACCACACCCTCTCACTCTCTCACACACACACAAACCCCCACACACGCAGGGATGCACACATGCACACGGACGCACACACGTAAAAACACACAAGCCGCCCCCCACCCCACCCCGATACACGAAAACACAAGTGCACGCGGACGCACGCACAGTGACTGAAAGACACACATATACACACATAAAGGCACACTCGAAATGCGACCTACATCAGTGACCACTAAACTACGGCCACGCAAGCACACACGCACACACACATACGCGCACGCACGCACACGCCTACAACCCTCTCAGCAACACGCGCACGCACCCAACACACAAACACACACACACACATAAACACACGCACGCACACACGCACAGACGCAAACACACTCACACACATACGCACGCACGCGAACACACACACACCGTGCAAAGCACCGGCCAGACGCCAGCGGCCACGAGCCGAACACGCGCGCGCGCTCACGCCAACACGCCACCGACTGCCACGCCCAACGCACATTCAAGATGCAAGCGTAACGTCCGCACATATCGCACGCCGCGCGCGCAGGGACAACCGCGCACTCACACATACACACATTCACACACACACACACGCGTAGACAGACACACAAACACGCGCACACACACACACTCACACACACACACACACCACGCACACACACGCACACACACACACACGCACACGCACAGACACGGGGAGACACACGCCCCCCCACCCACACACACACACGCACACGTACGCACACACATACACACACACACTCACACACAATCACACACACCCACACTGACACACACACACATACACACACACCCACACACAGCCACGCAGAGACGCCCGCACACACACACACAAACGCACAAACACACCGACAGACCCAGTTGCAAACAACCACGCGCGCACACAAAGCACACGAACACACACGCACACACACCGGCCACACACACACGCACACACCCACAACCACGCCCACACACGCACGCGCACAAACACGCACATACACAAACAAAAACACACACGCACACACACACACACGCACACGCACGGGCACAGGCCAGACGCCAGCGCCCACGAGCCGAACACGCGCGCACGCCCACGCCAACGCGCCACCGACTGCCACACCCAACGCACATTCAAGATGCAAGCGTAACGTCCGCACATATCGCACGCCGCGCGCGCACACATACACACACACACACGTAGACAAACACACACACGCACGCACACGCGCAAACGCAAACACACACACACACACCCACACACACACTCACACACACACGCACACACACACACACGTAGACA